GCCATAGCCCAGATCATTGCCAATATGATCAGCCAAAGAGGCTTGGGGAAGGGGAAAGGCAAGGGTACAGCCCAACCGGCCGGCTACAGTTTGCAGGGTAACCAGGAGCCCACGCAGGAGCAGAATGATGAGACTAACGATGACGATGACGATGGGGCTTCTCAGCAGTCAGGCGATGTAAGTATGGCAGCTGGTTCAGAGGAACCTCGCCCTGTTGCAAAAGGCGAGCCGAAGCCGAAGGCCAAGAAGGCCAAGAAAAAGGCCAAGAACTAGGGTTCTCGAGCCTGCGAAACATGCAGCTCTGTTGGTCTGATGGCCATCGCTGAGTGATGTTGGCTGTGCTGTTACATCACCGTTTTTTGATTTGGGGTGAATCAGTTTCACTGATACCACCACTTGAGCAATCGTGTGAAAATATTTAGCAATTGTGACTGCCATAGTACTTGAGAGATGGTTTTCATAGATGTCCAGAAGAGCTTTCATGGATAGTTTTCATGTTGCTCTTTCAGTCGCCGCGTTTTCTGGAGAGTTTACGTCAGAGAGTTTCTTCCGCAGCCGTCGCGACTTTTTCTTCCGCAGCCGTTTCGACTCAATGCATTAATAAGGATGCAGAGGACCGCACCTCTGTATGTGATCTATGTTGCAGCCAACCACAGCCCATGTAGTACTGTGCGAGACCTGAGGAATGTCATTGACAGTTTTACGCCGGTAGAGATCCACGGAAGGGGCTATGACACGGGAGGCTTTGTTTTGTTGAAATCCTTTGATCTTCAGAGGGTTTGGGCTTTGTGGCACTACCTCAAGCAGAATGGGTTCAACATTGGTGTGGAAAAGGGGCCGACTATTGAAGCCCAAGGCGGCAGGCGGCTGGCCCCCTTCCCCCATCCAGGGCAAGATGAAGCATTGTTGAAAGAGCAGAATAGGACTTGGGCTTGCATATTGATTGAAAAAACTGTTGGGTTGTAAACAAATATATATATATATAGATATTCACCTTCAATGATTTGGTGGGAGAACTTGGATTGGACAGGACCTCCGCATTTTAGCCATTAGTGTTTTTGCGTTTGTTTTGCAGGACCTCCGCTCAGACTTCCAAACAGGATGCGGGTGATGGACCTGGTGCTGGACCTGGTGCTTCAGCAAACACTGAAACTCCTCGTAGTGCAGCCCTTCATCACCCACCACCTGCGGAAGCAGGATTGCCTGAGTTTGCTGATGATGGGGAAAAGAAGAAAAAGAAAAAGAAGAAAACGCCTGGAGAGCCATCAGACTCTGATACCGAACTGCGTGGTAAATCTCTCAGCGCAGAGCTGCCTGCTGGTTCAGAGTTACCTGCCAGATGCTCAGTGTGTGTGTGTGTCTGTGTGGTGAACATTGATCCACTACAGCTACAGTGCAGTTCTTTGTGACATTTTTTTAAGGACACAGTGGCACCAGATGCACCAGATTTGCCAGAAACGGAACCCCGATCCTCTCGCTCACCCCATGAGGCCCTGACAATGCTCTATGCTGGACACAATTACCTTTTGTTTGAGTACAGGTCTTGTTGACAAGTTTCCAAACACTTGTTCACTTGCACAGGCCCTGAACAACGATGAGATCCAGCATCGGAGACGTGCTTCAACAAGTCGCTCTCGCAAGCGCAAACGAAGGAGACGATCTACCAGCTCACGGTCGGCAACCAATCGGCGAGTCAACACCATTATGAGGAATCTTCAGGCTGGTATAACATGCCTACAAAAAGCACTGGACGACTTGGAAGACGTCGCAGAGAGGATCTGATGGTGCAGTGAAGGCAAGGTTTGAGCGGTGATGCGCTTAAGCTTAAACTTATTGTTTTCTCAATGATTTGTATGTTTAAGAAACATTAAACTTTCAAGTCAAACGTTCATCAAAATCATGAAATATGCTTGTGCAAATTTGATTTTGTGTTGAAAAATAGCAAGACCTTTGTGTTTCGACTCAAAGGTTCATCAAACCTTTGATAACTATTTCACTTTTAGAGTCTAAGTTTCATAAAACTTTTGACAAAAAATGCTTCTAAGAATCAAAGTTTCATCAAAACTTTGACCAAACTTTGATTTTAAGAATCAAAGTTTAGTCAAAGTTTTGACAAAACTTTGATTTTTCAAATCAAAGTTTCATTAAAACTTTGATCTTAAAATCAAAGTTTGGATCAAAGTTTTATTTCAATAATCAAAGTTTTGATTAAACTTTGATTCCAAATCAAAACTTTGATTTCAATATCAAAGTTTTATCAAAACTTTGATTTTTAAATGGCAAACTTTGACTTTACACTCAAAGTTTGGATAAAACTTTGATTTTATGAATCAAAGTTTTGTCAAAGTTTTGATGAAACTTTGATTCTTAAATCAAAGTTTTGTCAAAGTTTTGATGAAACTTTGATTATTTGAATCAAAGTTTTGTCAAAAGTTTGATGAAACTTTGATTCTTGAAAGCAAAGTTTTGTCAAAAGTTTGATGAAACTTTGATTCTTGAATCAAAATTTTGTCAAAAGTTTAATGAAACTTTGATTGTAAGAGTCATAATATTATCAAAGGTTTAAGATTTTTGATTCCAAATGCAAAAGCTTTTCCATGAAATCAGCAGCTTTGATTACAAAAATCTCATTGACTTGTCAGTAGTCTGTCTGACAAAACTGTGGCTCTTTCTGGGTTTCGTACGTGTTTTTGTTTAGCGAAAGCATTAATACATTGAGCCTGTTCAAGCCAGTTCTTGTGAAAATCACTCATTGCTGGCAGGCTTTGGCTGCTCGGACTCCAACCGACTTGCTCACAAGATGGAAAAATGCACAAAGATTGCGCGTTTGGTTGTATGTTTGAGAGAGAGTTTCTTGAACGTTTATTGATGGATAGTCTCTTGAGAGTTTTCTGATGGAGAGTTTCTTGATAGCTTTTGATGGAGAGTTTCGTCAATGTTTTAACAGATAGTTTCTTAAAGTGTTGTGATGGAGCGTTTCTTGAACGTTTTTTGGTGAGAGTTTCCTGAGAGCTTTTTGATGAAGAGTTTCCTGAGAGCTTTTTGATGGAGAGTTTCTTTCGTGTTTTAACAGAGAGTTTCTTAAAGTGTTTTGATGGAGCATGTCTTGAGAGTTTTTTGGTGAAGGGTTTCTAGAGAGTTTTTTGATGGAGAGTTTCTTTCGCGTTTTGACAGATAGTTTCTTAAAGTGTTTTGATGGAGCGTGTCTTGAGAGTTTTTTTTGAAGAGTTTCTAGAGAGTTTTTTGATGGAGAGTTTATTGAGGTTTTGGAAAGATTGAGAGTTTTTTGAAGGATAGTTTTTTGATTGAGATTTTCTTGGCTCACAGACATTTTTAGGCATGCAATTCCCACAAACTAGTGCCTTGGAAAGCTCACAGCTCTCTTTTCTTAGCTCACAGACATTTTCAGACATGCAATTTCCACAAACTAGTGCTCTTGGCAAACTCAGAGCTCTTGAGCGTTCATGGAAGAAGTCTACAAGCATGCCTTCAGCAAAGGTAGAACGGCTTCAAGGGCTAAGGCTTTCGAAGATGAGTTCTTCCAGAGAAGAGCTACCAGCGCTTTAGCGGATTTGCTTATCTCATCATGGGTTTGGGGGCACATCAGTGCAACTATGGTCCAAAAGGTTGCTCAAGCGGCCAAACAAGATGTGGAGTCATCAGGGATTTCACAAAAGATCTGGAGTTGGGAAATTTTGAGCCAGCTAGGAACAGCTGGCGCAAACCCTCAGAATATCAGAAGGGACCTTGAGCGGAAGTTGCCAGCACCGTTGTGCCAGTGTACAAGCTTCATGGTCCCACTCAGACTTCCGCTCACAGGTGGGAGAGCTCAAGTGGGCAATGTGCAACTCCCAATTCTTCTTCCAGAAACGAGTTTCAACAACTTGTGGAAAAACAAAGATGCTTGGAAGGAGATGATCCTCCCCAGGCCCGAAGAGTTGGAGATGTTTTGGAGTGCAGTGTGTGAGCACCCATGTGTGATTAATCACCCCATGAAGAATTTGAATTCATGGTCGAAGCGCTGCATACCCTTGGCACTACATGGCGATGGTGCTAGTGTCACACAACAGATAGGTTCCGGTTCCAAATCATGCCTTTTCATTTCATACCGGAGCCTCATGGCATCTTCAGGCAAGTCAAAGAATAAACACATATTGATCGCAGCAGCGTGGACGCATCACGCAGCCAAGGATGTCAATGGCTTCAACACAGACGCAAAGATTTGGTCCATCATTGCGAACAGTTTCAAGCGCATTTTACAATCAGAAGGGCAGTCGACCGGAGGATTTATAGCTGTACCTTGCTTTTCTACAGGTGACTTGGAATACTTCTCGTCTTGGCACCGTTGTCCTCATTGGACATCAGCTAAGCCTTGCTCACTGTGCTCCATCTCCAGTAGCAATCTGGCGGATTATCGCAACATCCCCCTCCCGCCAGAAGACCCTTGGAACCTTCCGCGGAACCATGCTTGCCCACTATTTCAAGAAATTTTGAGCCCCAGCAGCATCAGCCCCGATTGGCTCCATACCAAGCACCTGGGAATTGACCAGAGGCTGATTGGAAGTGTTGGATGGGTCATCCTGCAGCATCTCTTCACTGAGGGATCATTGGAAGAGCGCTGTGGGAGTTTGCTGAAGCAGCTGAAAGAGGTTTGGTCAAACAGAAAAATGCAGGGTTGCCTCACGAACTTGACTGTCAAAATGCTGATGACAGACAAGAACGCAACCAAGAAGTACCCCAAGTTGAAAGCCAAAGCGTATGAGACCAAACAATGTTTGGTCGCATTCCTGGAGGTCTGGACCAATGCAATGGATGCGGGTTGTCAAGCCCATGAATGGGTTAAATTGGCCTTGTCCAATTCATTGCGCATGGACGAGATCATCGATCAGTGCAAAGAAGACTTCAAGCTGAACCCTTCAGCATTTGCTGAACTCACCCAATGCGCCAAGAACTACACCTTGCTCAACATTGCCTTACACAAATGGTACAGTGACAAGGGATTGCGTTTGTTCCAGGTTGGAACCATGAAGGGTCATTGGTTACATCACTCTGTGGCCCTTTCACGCTTCATTAACCCATATCTTTTGCAGCGCTACTCCGGCAAAGACTTTATGTCGGTCATGAAGACCTTACTCCATGCCTGCCTGAATGGGCGCACAGCCTTGAGCGCATTAAGACATTTTATGTCGAGGTACATCCTTGCTTTCACATACGAGGTTGCTTTTGCTAGTCGAACCTGGAGGCTCAAATGACCAGTCGCTTTGAGAACAAATGTCCTTGGTCAGGCTGTCTTGTTGGACTTCCAAGGCTCATGTCTTTTGATTATCATTGCTCATGATGGAAAATCTTTTGTTCAGGCAAAAGTTTTGGGCTCAAGTCTAATAGTTGTACAGCATGGAACTTCCCATTACTCAAGAAAGAACCAAAGTTTTGCCCCATGTCACTGTGGCTGCTCTCCAGAAGTCTCTGGAGCTTGGTTTCAGCCAGGCCCACAATCAAACGTTTACACTACTATTGTCCATAGCTACATCAGTTCAGAGCCAAAGCACGCTGGGCAGGTTGGACATCGAAGCTTGTCGGTTCTGATCACCGACTTGGAAGGCATGAGTTGGAAGACTGCACCTTCCAAACATGTGCCTGCATTCGTTACACTCGAACCAATTCTGGTGCACATCTTGGAAATTTGCAACAACGGCCTCATCCCAGACTCCAAGTTGATGACAGCCGCTTAGCTATCAATACCTGGAGCTTAAGCTTTGCCCAACACACGCATGTTGAAAGCAAAGGTTAGCCTGACAACACTGAGGCAATGCGAGCTATGCACGAGCAGAAGAACTTCCAGTGTGGCGCAAGCGGTTCTTTCTCAATGATGTGTCCCTTTGTTTGTCAGAAGCTTCGACAAATGGGCAGCAAGATTCGGGGAATTGCTACTTGCCCTACCTCCTGGGAACAGCTCGAGCGCAAGTTGACTGTGCGACAAAGGGAGGCCTTCGTCAAGCTTTGCCGCTGTATCGACAATCGTTTTCTAGGTTCCAGTGAGGGCGCCGAATTAAGCCCCAGCCCGGTGCGGAGCTGAGTTTTTTACCATTGATTTGTTTAGGGAAGAGTTTCTGCATGGAATTTGTTCAGGGCGTCGAGTCCTTCTAAAATCGAGTTTTGATTTTCATATTTCAGAGAGTTTTTGAGATGAGAGAGTTTCAGAGAGTTTATGAGAGTTCAGAGATTCTTTCAGAAAAAATCAGACTCTTCATTTTTGCGCTTTGCTTTGACTCTATAGATTGTGACACTTGATCCTCTGGCTGACCTCTATGCTAAGGCACCTACGAAGAGGCTGCGCGCTGATGCTGATGCTTCACAGGCTCCTATGAAGAGGCCGTGTGCTGATGCTCCTGCTGATGCTTCTCCGGAACATACGAAGGAACCCATGCAGGACATGGAGTCCTCACCAAATTTGTTCATGAAGGTCGACTTCTTTAGTTTGTTCCTGGACAGTACTGGTGGCTTCTTGGATTTGGCAGATGCGAAGGCCGCCAAGGCAGCGAATGCCGCCATGAGATGTGGGCAACCCTCTTGTTCAGGGAGCAACGCTCAAACTGCAACAAGCCAGGAGAAGGTCAAGACGAGCAAGAACCGCAAGCAAGTCAGTGGGGAGAAGACATGGTGGCAGGCGCTTGGGCAGCAACAGTCACCCTTGCGCAGTTACTACTTGCAGGACCAGAAGAAGGGCCTCAAAATGGATGCTAAGTGCTTCGCGTCTCGAGTCTACCACAAGGTAGACTCTTTGTGCAGCCGCAGTTTGGCGCAATCAGCGCATCGAGATGCATTGAAATTCCTGAGCGAGCTGTAGCCGGTTCGTCATCGACAGGGTTATGCGCCGCAAGTGTTTCCTTGAACACTTCACACGCTGTCCAGCTCTATGCGCCGGAAGTGTTTCCTTGAACACTTCACACGCTGCATTGCAAAAAGGTGACAACCTCATGACTGAGCGCATTTAAGTGGCAGGCGACTGTGCTGTCATAGTCATATAGTTGGAGAAAGGCTTTCATGTGGAAGGTTTTCCAGGCTCAATTGCTGTCAACCTATAGCTTGTTGCAGCTCCACCTCTTTTGACAATATGAGTCACCAGCCCGACTCATCTTCTGAGCATGAATCCGAAGCGGAAGTCCAAGGGCCGCA